GAATACCTCTCGTATCAGGACGTATTCTCACGACCCCATTGAAATAAGGTAGTGGGGTTCAGGGTTAATATCACATCCTCATCCAGAATATTGTATCGTGGGAGCAACATCTAACTGAGACTGCATTTTGTGTCTAGCAGTTTGTCTTTTCGAATTATACTCTGAATGTCCGATCTTCCTCGTTATCGTTTCTACCCTATTATTCGGTTTCTTGCAATTTATCTTGCTATATTCATTTGCTTCGGTACCTGTACCGGATTATGCTAGTCAGTCAGTCAGTCAGTCAGTCATCCGTTCAGTCAGTTACAACCTAGGGTCTGCGGCTCTTCCTCGCCTTAGATTACACATAACCTTTTCAACTTCATTCAGAGTCGAAGGACTTACATCAACTTGCCATTCAGGTTGATTGGAAATTGTGGGTAACACCAAAGTGAGGCTGAAGGCCATTTAAACTGATCCACAAAGTGTTCAGCCCATCGATCTGATCTCTGAATGGTTAGATTCGAATCCAATCTCCTGGATTAAGAGTGAATACTTTATGCAAGTGATAACTGATGAAATACCTCAACTGCTTCTAATGTCGCCTTGGATTTTCTGTTACCCCTAATGGAGCATAGGCCACCGAGCAGCGAATTATTTTTCTGGTTATCGTTTTTTTAGCGAGTTGGATTTCTACGGGATGGGGTCGCTAACGCCATACGCAACGTTCCTCGTTTATCAGGTCTTGGGACCGGCAAAAACCTTAGAAGGGCTCCAGGTAGAGTTACCTAACCCTCACTTAAGTGGCATACTTTTTTCCACGGCTTTCCTAATAAATATCATTTGTTTTCACACTATGACATTATTCATAATAATGGTAGTTTAACATAGTAGTGTTGTGTGCGTTCGTTTATCAAGTACACTAGTGAATTACGTAGATAGTAATATCTTATAACAATGTGCTGCCTTCAACATCGAGATAGATCTAATTGTGACGATATTAGCAATTAAAACTCGTCTCAATGCTTATTCATATTATGGTTCCAAACGGAGTTGCTGTCCATATTCAAAAAAATTCATTGATTATTCATAACCCTTTTTTTTCGTAACCTATCGTTACTTGAGTTGGGTATGAGGAAGAAGTTTCATTGATTGGCACTACTTTGTGTGAGTATTATCGATCATGTTTTACAGTATTGATTGTGTGTTATAATTCTCTCTCTTTATTACAACCTAGCTATTTTCTAATGCTTAGTATTCTCGGACACCAATTCACTCGAGTCGTCGTTCTCCCAAAAATCAGAACACGAGTTGAACAGGAAATAGAGATTATATTCCATTAACAATGTTTGATGGAAGACAGAAGATACAAATGAAAAAAAGACGTTAGTATGTTGATAGTTTTCTTACATGAGAAGAAGATTGTAGTGTAGAATGTTCCCTCTGTATCAACTAGCGCTGATTGGATGCAAAAGAGCCAATCAGCGTGCAACAATGCAAACCATGCTTTCATCCAATCAATGTCCCACTAACATCACCTCAATGAGTGGTGGAATAGTTAATGAAAAAAAAACAAATCAAATTCAATTTAACTTCATAATTAATTTTTTGTGTGATTAATTTCCTATAGAGAATGAATGAATCAATATTGTCTCATGTATATGTATGTTTGTGTGTGTGTTTTTTTTTTATAAAATGTCTATTTCAAGGGAAGTCTTCCATATCATCATGAAGAGTGGATTAAAATTCGTTGTTGTCTTGAAGAATTCTTCTTATTTGCCAATGATATGTCCGATAAATTTGGTCAACTCTATTGTTTTTTGGATAGAAAACTTAATCCAGAATCAGTGGATGAATCAAAACGTGCTTTAGAAGAGCATAGATCAGTACGCTTAAAAGTAAGTGTTTTGATTATTTTGTATGTATGTTTATTGTGTGTGTGTGAATCTTGTTAACATTATTTTGCACAGGTACTGGTTTTATTAGTGATATGCTTTCACCAATCACATTTTCTGTTCGTTTTACAATATTTTGCTTTTGTTTTTTTCTTCTGAAACATAGATTGTTCAAGCTCCAGTTCCTGCACTTGAAGCAGAAGCTGATCGGCTAACTTCATGGTTACGTTATGGTATTACTGCATCACAATCTAGTGCCAATGCATCATCGTCTGTGAATTCCAGTTCTCAAGCATGTTCTATCACTACTGCATCTGGTGGTGGTGGTGGTGCATCGTTTCTTGCCACCTCATGGGTATCAATGAATCCTGATTTTCAACAGGTATGTATGTAGTAAGAGGAAAAAAAACACTATCATCTTTGAATTTTTCTTAGATATAGTATTTCAACTCGTTTTTTTAAACTTTTAACAGGGTTTTTTAAAATAACCAAAAAATTTTTTAAAATTTTCACAGCGTTTTTTAAAATAACCACAGCGTTTTTTAAAATTTTTTTGAAAAAATAAAATAAGAACTACTTTTAATTAAAATCTTCTTTAGCAATCGCTTTTAAACAGTTGCGACGTATGTGTCTTGAATAACCTTGTAAATCATCCCTGGTTAATTGATTTACAGAATTTAGTATTAGATTTATAAAAGATTCGTTGGATCCGCTCGCCATAGATCTTCTTACAATGGATTTAATTTTCGAAAACACGAATTCGATTGGGTTAAGCATGTAACTATAGGGAGACAAAAACATAACGTTTACTCCCTGATAATATCACCGCATATCTTCTTATTTGATGGTTTTCCTGTTTTTTTCTTCTCAACTCGCGATTCCTTTTTATATATACAACCTTATAATATTTGTAGCGGCCTGATAGTTTATATCTGTAAGAAAGGCCGCATCCTTGACGCTGTATCCGTCTTCAATAAATTTTTTTATAAGGCTTTTTCTTTTTTCATTCGAAATCAAGTTGTTTTTTCTATTTATTACTGACATTCTAAGGATTACAAAAAATTTTAAAAAACGCTTTGGCTATTTTAAAAAACGCTGTAAAAATTTTAAAAAATTTTTTGGTTATTTTAAAAAACCCTGTTAAAAGTTTAAAAAACGAGTTGAAATACTATAATAAACTTGAGACAGACAGATAGACAGATACAACGCAGAACTTCGTACGTAAGTACATCAGATCAGGT